GGTTTCTGCTGACCAGGAAAGTAAACCCGGTACATGGACTCACGGCGTGTATAGCAACTGTGGGGATCTGCAATAATATTTATTTCTATATATATCAGGAAATAGTATTTATTATATCTGCATGTGCACTGGGAAAGTATATTCGGGGCATGGCTTCAAGGCGTGTATAGCAACTGATGGTTCATCTGCACGTATGCGTCATATTAGATAAATATTTCTATATATTCTGCATATTTCACAAAACACTCTGAAAACCCGAAAGTGTATTTTGATAAAATATGGATAAATTCATAATTAGCTTTTCACATACTCCATGAAAAGTTCTCGTTTTACGAGGACTCAGATACTGAAAGTATCGAGGAGTTGCACTTTAAAAAGTAGTAATTAAAACACGCTCTGTTAGGAACACGTCTAGTATCAGGCGATCTCAGTGCTGGAGTTGGGACTAATGAGAGGTTGTTTTATCAAGGATGAAACAGAAATCTATACCAGTAGCATATCTATATTTACCTGATGAATCTAAAGTGGTCAAGGAAATATAATACCTTGATGAAATAGGTATGGATTACCTGTATTGGAAGTATGTAAGTTGTGGGGGCAACACATTGTCATTGGTCGAGAGGTCGAGATCACATGACACACCTGTTTCAGTCACGTGTTCGGTCACGTGTTCAGTCACGTGTATGACAAGTAATTAACCAGGCTTACTTAGTTGACTATGTACTAGTAACAACTAACTGTTTACAATCTATAACAGACATCTTTCATTCAAAACCTGACTTTGATGGTATTTTACAAGTTACATTTAATCTAACAAAGACCCATGCTGTAAAATGTTGATAGCGGTGTGACATGGGATGATATGTTGAAATATACATGGCCTGAGTGGGTTAGGACGCTGACAAATCATGAAGTTGACCTGTGTGAAGTATCGGGTACGATCCGGAATGAATTTCTGCAATAAGTATATTCAATGTGGGCAATAAATGGGGCTTCAGCAACACATGGGGAAATATCTTAAAGTTAGCAGTACCAGTACCAGTGAACACCCTGTTTGGTTTGATGGCGACGGTGAGACTGCTGTGAGAAGGCTTTGTTTTGTTCTAATGCATTACGTAGATGTGGAAGAAATGATCAGGCAAGCAGATACCTTGCGTCTTTGTATACAGAGAAATGCCAATCGTTCATCAATGTTATTGTTGGTGACATTTGTAGTTGTAAATGGTAATTGTAAGGTTGGGATCAAAGTAAAAGCAGTACTGCAGAACCGTAGTGCGAAAAAGCATATGCCACCAAGCAAGTGGTTTATCTTTGTTTAAAGATTTACCAAACTCAAGGGTTTAATACAGAAACTGTCATAAAATGTACTTCCAGAGATCGGAATCCGATCAAGCTATTTAAATTGGGAAAATATCTGGGTATTGATGGTATACTGCCTGGTATTTAAACATGGTATTTACGAGGTTTTAAAATGACTATTCAACAAGATTAATATTTTTCACACATATTGTTTGCAGTTTTCACAGATTTATACTTTGTCAATAATAAGCTGTTGTATGTAGTTACACGAGGAACTGTATAACAAGGGTAACAAGTTGTCAGATGGTGTAAAAACAGTTAGTTTGAACTCTGAAATATTCACATCATTTGGAGTATGTTAAACTGAATACTATTTATAATTCTTAACAAAATGAGTCGTTAGAACATAAAAAAATAAATGTGGACTGGGAGGACGTTTTTGTCAGAAATATTGGATACAGCATCATGTTGCTCGTATTTCCAGATGGCGTTGCATTTAATGATGGCTGTGATTTACCATCACGTTGAAACACAGTTGTTATGGACGGGGATTAGGGTCAATCTAGAGAAGTCATGTATTGTTGTTGTCAGAAATGGCGGATACAGACTTGTCGTGGTAAACAGATGCAAGCAACACCCCACTATAAACAACACGGAATTGATTCCACATCTAGATTAATTCGGTCGAAAGCGGCACTACGAACTAGACAGGTTTCAATTCCGATCTGTATATTCAAATACGTTATCCAAACATTTCTCTAAAGGTAGTATCAACACTATTTGACGGTAAATAGCTTCCATGCTGGTATATGGATAGGACATATGGAGGTTACACTTATCGTGCGACAAATATTGACAAGAAGAGTACGACAAGGGATCTAATAATGCTGTACTTATCGTGCAAATATTGACAAGAAGAGTACGACAAGGGATCTAATAATGCTGTACTTGATAAAGTGGGTACAACCTTCTGTGTTAATTATTATATTCAATCAATCGTATATTCCGCATGTGTGCCTCCGGCCCATATACAGATGATACAGCAGGTTGGCATTTGCATCTTACAAACTTTGACGTCTCAGACGTAGTGCACAGTGAAAATAAAGTTGTAGCTTAATAATAACGTTTGTATCATTAGATACCATTAGGTTGGTGAAACTAGTTTTATATTATAGGATGTACAGAAAACAGTAGGTATTTAGATCTTAAGCTTTCATACGCTGGACATATCATAACAAATGAAATTCTTCTTCAATCATGGCTAACTTACACACTTTTACACAGTGATCTTATTTAGCTTTTAATATCGCCCATGTACAGGTTATACAACCAGCTGGTTGAAATTTGTCCTTATATAATGCATTAATGCTGACAGCTGTACACCAATAGGTATTGACATCTCAAACCATGTTTTCAAACACTGAATTTCACACTGACATACGAAGGCCACGACTAGGAAAGCATGTCAAAGAAACCGGATTTACACAATTAATTTTGATCGCATTGATTGCTTTATACAGTGCTTTAAGCAAAGGTGTAAAGACAGGGATTGAGAACTGGCAAACATAAAAAAAAAATTCCCCATATTAAGATCATTATTCATCATAATGAGCCAGGGTAAATACATTATGGAGTTATGCCCAGATAGCTTCCATGCTGGATATCAAATCTGTATATCCTTTCATACACACACACACACACACACACACACATATATATAATGCCTTGACCAGCCTTTCTGATCACCAGCTCTAAACCCCGATAGAACACCTATAGGATGAACTCGATCAACGTGTACGTCTACTTCAAAACACGCCTCGCACACTTCCACAACTGGCCATCGCATTGCAGGAAGAGTGGGGATGAATTCCGCAAGAGCGACTTTGTCGACTTATCCAGTCTGTGCCGAGATTGTGCCTCGCAGTAATTGCTGCTAATGGTGCCATACAAAGTAATGACGTTGACGGCATCTTGTGGACTCAAGTAAACAGAAATACAACAAGAAAATTGGTTGATCTGTGGAGCATGACTTCCTCCAGAAAACAACGTTCCGGTGTTACCCTGGCCTTCCCGATCACCCGATTTGTCCCCCATTGAACATCTATGGGATACTCTTGATCGACGCTTGAGCCAGCGTAATCCGCCACCTCAGACTCTATAAGAACTGCACACAGCACCCCAGCAAGAGTATAAAAAACATTCAGCATCCCATTTCTTCTATGGGTCACCGCTGCCAAGCTGTTATCGATTCTCATGGTGGTCACACCAGATGCTGACATTTTACTCTGACCAAGTGGTTTTGAACAGCCCTCTGTGGTTTTATCAAACCCATTCTGGATAATCATGTTTTGGAAATTTGTAAAGTGATGATTTTACTGCATGTGAGCAATGATGTTATATTTGAATCAGTATATGCACTCAGTACGTAAACTCCAAAGCAGCATGTATAGTTTCTTTTTTTAAGACTATATCTTTACACACCTATATTTCTTTCACATTTGTAATAATATTAAATAATAATAAATAGTGCGGGTATTTGTATCGCTACATCCAGGAACTAATACCCCTCTCATGGGGCTACAATAGTATAGGAGAACATAGTTAAAACTATATACAGCGGGCAAAGAGAGACAACTGAACACAGGAAGGCTAATAATAGGCTAGGCAGAAAAAATGGGTTTTAGTGAAGAATTTTAGAGTGGGCAGGTTGTTCCTGAGAATGGTGGCTGCGTGTTGGAATGATCTTTTCCGATAGGATGTGAGTCGAACTTTAGTCATGACAAGTAACTGGTGATTCTGGGATCGCAATGGTCGGGTTGGGATGTACTGTTACAGAAGACTGGAGAGGTATTCAGGTATTTGCCCATGTAGAGCTCTGAAAGTGATACATGGAATGTTGAAGTCAATCCGGAATGTGACAGGTAACCAGTCTAGAGTCATCAGTGAAGGTGTCATATGATCTTTCTTGGACTTGAGGCAGACCATGCGAGCTGCTGAGTTCTGTAGTTTTTGAAGTTTCAGAAGTTGAGTTGAACTGATGCCAAAGTGCAGACTGTTGCAATAGTCGAGTCGAAATAGTATAAGGGATCGCTCCAAAGAATGAACACATTCTGTTGTGATGAGGTTTCTAATGAAGCTGATGGTTCGGAGATCTTTTTCACATCTATATATCTTTTCACATCTATTTAGCTATATTATCTTTTCACTTTTATATATCTGTTTCACATCTATATATCTTTTCACATCAGTATATCTGTTTCACATCTATATATCTTTTTCACATCTATATATCTTTCACATCTATATATCTGTTTCACATCTATATATCTGTTTCACATCTATACATCTTTTTTCACATCTATATATCTTTTTCACATCTATACGTCTTTTTCACATCTATATATCTGTTTCACATCTGTATATTCTTTCACATCTATATATCTTTTCACATCTATATATCTTTTTGACATCTATATATTTTTTCACATCTATTTAGCTATATTATCTTTCCATATCTGTATATCTTTTCACTTTTATATATCTGTTTCACATCTATACATCTTTTCACATCAGTATATCTGTTTCACATCAGTATATCTGTTTCACATCTATATATCTGTTTCACATCTATATATCTTTCACATCTATATATCTGTTTCACATCTATATATCTGTTTCACATCTATACATCTTTTTTCACA